GTGGTTCAAAGAATTTAATTTATGCTCATTTAAATACTAATTTAAACTAATCAAAACAGCAACAGTACTGCTTGATGAGCCAACTGGGTTTGGGGTGTGGGAAAGAAGTAGACGTCAGGAGTTTTCATTACACAGGAAATGTGGGGAGGATGGCCAAGGCAAGATTGATGGAAAGAAGTCGCTCTGGGGTGAGACAAGTCCACTGACAAGTCCACTGTCCGGAGTCTGCAGAGGGGGGTTTGCAGCTGTCAGAACAAGATATGCTGTCCTTCCCAGGGTCGCTGCCTAGGCATGATTACGGGGCCTGCCAGTTCAGGCGTCCATCTTTGTGTCTATTTATGTCAAAATGCCTGGTATATAAGCTCCTGGAGCGCCCCAATGGGGCCCGTTGCTGGTTGAATCAGCCCCTCCTGAGAGTCGGGGGGGGGGGGTCTGCATGCTCACGCTCTAGCCTCAGCGGCTTTCCTCCAGCTTGAGTGGCTTTTCCATTGATTGGCTGAGTCAATCATAAGAGGCTCTTCCTTAGGCTGGAGGAAGTTTTATTGGAGGATTGTTGAATTCCACTGCATTATTGAAAATACTTGGTGCCATACTGAAATTCATAGGCCATGACCCCCATAGTCCTTCTTGGTGTTTGTCATACCATGGTTTCATTTGTCCAGCCAGGTTTTGACTAACCATACTAGATAAAGTACCGAGGTCAAAGTGGTGGGTCGTAATGAAGTCCCCGATGCCCACATGCCTTGGAATGGGATGGAAGTTGTAGCGGAAACAAGCGCTGTGTTGTCTGCCAGCCTGTTTCGCAATACTAAGTTGCCACAAGCTTTCCTACTTCCAAACCAATGCAATACCTAACTGTGCCTGGGTGCTGTATCAGCCAAATCCCTGGCTGAGTAAGACACACAGCTGTTAGGTACGCTCAGAAAAATGCATTGTTTATGAACTGAATACAGCATTGAGCTCAGTTGGCCCAAAATAGTAAAAAATCACTGCAACGCATTGAGTAGGTGATCCTGTTGAAGGTACAGCATGGTATCTCCTGGGAAAAGGGGGCCTTGAGAAAGGGCCTGACCCGGCCTCCCCAGAGGAGGCGAGGACGTCTGTCCTTCTCATAAGTGGTGTTTGCCCACTCAACTAAGAGGACTGTCAGCTCTTGATAAAGACGTTTCTTGAAAGGGTCGCTGTCAGGTGTCTGTTGGGTTTATTGTGAGAGGTCCCTGCCAGTGCGCCACAACAGGGAGATTCATCTGGACGGGGCCGAGATGTGTCCCTCTCACAGCCCGGCATGGGGACCCTTATTTAAGTTTTCTTCAGTCGAGGTGGGCCTAGAGACATTTAACATTGATGCCAACTGTGAATACTGCTCATATTCTGGATGGGATGGTGTATTGCATGTGTGTAATAAATGTGTATGTAATTGGATAATAAGAGACTCACAAATGATTGTATTTCAGTTTATTTATAGTTTATTTTAAAGTTCATTATTTATGATATCGTTTGGTCACGGTTTTTACCACTCTTTTTTTGGCGTGCCGTATCAGCCAAATCCTTGGCTGAGTAAGAGACACAGCTGTTAGGTACGCTCATAAAAATTCATTGTGTTTGAACTGAATACAGCATTGAGCTCAGTTGGCCCAAAATCACTGCAACGCATTGAGTAGCATGGTACGTTCTGGATCCCAGTCAGGTGGACTGGGAGGGGGAAAGGGCCTTGAAAAATGGCCTGACCCTGCCTCCCCAGAGGAGGGAGGGAGGGAGAAAGCCAGCCGGCCAGTTCTACACCTCCCCTGGATCAGTCAGTTGCCCCTGGCCACACATCACATGTGGCTCTGCCAGGCTAGGCACCTCTGGCCACATGGCTCTGCCAGGCTGGGTGCACCTGTCCACGTGTGGCTCTGCTGGGCCAGGTGTTGCCTTCCCTGGGCTGCATGCCACCCTTCTAGCCCTGGGCTGGGCTAGCCCAAGGAGCAGGCGTGCAGGCCCCGAGCCCGCCATGACTTTGCCTGTCTGTCCGTGATCCCAGTGTCTGCAATAGCTTCCCAGTTCCTGGATACAGAAGGATGCTCACAGTAGTAAATGTAAATGATACATGAATGACTGTTCATTGTGGCTTAAATTCCAGATGCTTAATAGAAAGGCATGGGTTCAGCTTTAAAAGATGAAAGGTAGACTGTAATTGTGCATACATTGGATTCTGATTTCATTCTAAACCAAGCTGTTTTCAAGAGACATGGTATAAATGAAAAGGGGGGGGGGGAATTCAACCTGAAAAATAAATGCATCTTTTAAAATGTACCCTTTCCTTTGGGCGAGGTTGGCTTGGGTGTAGTAGAGGATTGACTTTTGCAGTGCAGAAGTAGGCAGACTGTTACCACCAGCCCCTCCCACTGAAAGCACAGCCTGCTTAATGTGGGAGGGAGGATTAATCTATCAAAGCCGTGTCCCTAAAATAAATTGCTGAGTTCTCAGAGCCGAGTTCCTAAGTAACCTCACACAAATGCATATAAATAATTCTTCTTTAAAAGGAAACCTGCTTTCAAAACAGAAATGCTGCTTATCAATTTAATACCACAAAACTTGGTGGAATTCTTACTTCTGTTTCGGAAACAGGTGATGCCTTCCTTTAAAAGATGCTTGAAGTGACAGTAATTGCGGGATTACATAAGTGATGAGAGACAGAAGAGGCAGTTCTTAGCGCTAAACCAAATGGAATGCCCATAGAAGACCAATTAATAGTAGGCCTTTGGACTCGTAGGAGTGAGGGTGTGTATCTGTGCGAAAGTGAGGTCAGGAATGCAGAAGTTTATATGTTGGAAGCTGATTTCCCTTTATTCTGAAGGCCCGTGTCCATATACCTTCCACTGAAGATTACCCAAAGAATCAACAGAGGGCTGTTTTAGTAAGAATGAGTCTTTGCTTTGAGATAAAGCTGTTTGGATGGAATCATGTTGGGATTAATGGTTCCCTTTTTCAAAGTGTGTACATTGTGCGAGGGAATCAGATGGTTTACCTTTGTGATTTGTTGATGGTTTGAAAAAATTATAGGCCAGATCTCATGAAGAACATGTTGTAGTACATAAAACCAAGACCTTTGGTATTTTTGCTGATTTTATCAATTGGTATCTTTGCTGATTTTAGCATGTAAAGAGATTCTTAGTCATGAACTGCATGCTTGCAGACTTCTTTAATAATAGTTTTTCCTCCTGAAGAATTCTTGAATTTGAAAAGTGCTGGGAACTGTATACCTGGTCAGTTTCAATGGACCCATAGACAATCATTGCCATTGTGGTTATCTGCATTTACTTTCTTGTTGGACCAAGAACAGAGTTCTTCAGCAGAAAGTTAAAGGCCAAACATTGGTCTTGCGGGGCTCTGCACAGCTTTGAGAGTTTCCTATCAAAACCCTCATTTTAAGCTTTGGAGCTCAGTTTTTCTTACAGATTGCTCAGAACTCTGCTTATTTTTAGAGTACTTACTTTGTTTCAAAGGCTTAAACTCAAGAGTTACATGTAGTCATTCTGTACCTTGAACATTAGCTCCAGAATAGGTATTTACCTCTTTGTTGTATTTTTGTTCTGTCAGAATGATCCTGGCTGCAAGATTCAGATCTACCGCAAAGTTGTTTTCTCCTTGTAGGGTCCACACACACACACACACACACACACACACACCCTCTCAGCCAAGGAGGGTCTGACATGGAGGGGCTCGCTATGGTTGATCCGTCCCAGTCTCTCAAATCCTTACAAAAGCGGAGGGTGGTTAGGGTTCTTCAGGAGTTGTGGGGGGCTGGGTGAACTCTCGATCCTGATGGAGCCTACAGCTGGAAATCGATTAGCTAGGCCAAAGTCTTCAGATGAGGAAACTTGGCTGGAGAAATGCCTTCTCTCTGGGTCCAGGGCCCCCCCTCTTTCTCTCCCCTTTTATATCTGGCTCTTTAGGGTTTGCAGATGGTGAGAGACATTTAGGAAGGTGCATTTGGCATTTCCAAACCGAACTAATACCCAAACAATGCCTTTTCGGCCTGATTCAGGCATTAGTTAAGCCAAATCAGATTCTCTGATCTGATTCTGCTTACTGATAAGAGAATCCCTAATTAATTCAGGAATCCCAAATTTTCAGCTCCATTATATCCTATGAGGCCAATTTTACACAAATTCCAATACAATACCGATATTGGAATTCGGGTTTTCAAGTCAATACTGAATTTTTAAGAGTCCAAAAACCCTGAATCCGAAAAATACTGAATTTTTTTCCCTTGCACAACCCTGGAGACTTTGGGTGTTCTTCCTCGGGGGCCCCGTCCATTTCCTCTCTCCTGTTCCTTTCTCCTCTGCCCCCACTTCCCAGTTTCTGCCTGTTACAACATTGGGCCTTTTGTAGTTGCCAGTTTTCCTTACGCTCCAGGCAGCGAATTCCCCGCAGGTGCTGCTCCCGACTGTCCTGTGGGTTGCCTGGTGGCCAGTCCCCTTCTCCCCACCCAGAGCCCTTCAGCGTGAGGATAACAGTGACAAGTCCCACAGAAAGGGCATTTCAGGTGCGTCGTGATGCATACGTGGCCACCCAGGGTTCAGTGTTGGGTTTCCAGTGCAGGGACAGCCTGCCCATGGGTTGTGATCGAGGCTTTCCTGGGCTAGAGCCCACCTTCCCAAATGCGTGGAATGGGCCTCTTACATGAGTCAGTGTTTTACCCCTGGGCATGAAGAGAACAAGAAGAAATTAGTCCAGCAGAGGAAGAAGTTGCCTGGAACATCTAGAGCACTTATAATGTTGTAATATTGTATTGATTGTTTTATGCAATTTCAATCTGTTTTTATGTATTGGCTTACGCCCTATTGGTGAGCCGCCCTGAGCCCGCTTGCGGGGCGGGCAGGCTATAAATTAAACTAATAAATAAATAAATAAATAAATAAAATAAAGGCTGATTTCCTTAGGAAAGTTTGACTTCGTTCGATCCAGAATGTTTCCACTGTAACTTCTCTCCCTTTTTCCCCCCTTTGCAGTATATTGGCAGCCTAGATGTGCCCCGGCCAAACAGCAGAGTGGAGATCGTGAATGCCATGCGGCGGATCAGGGCAAGTAGCGGTGCGGGATCTGTTGTGGCTCTCTGTTGTGTCCTAAAGAGATGGGGTTGGGGGGCAGGGGGGAATGACTCGCTGTGTGTGCCCAGGTGAAGGTGTGTGCACACATCTCCCTTTCTCCTTAAAATGTATACAAGTTGGGGGCCTATGAGGAATCGCTGGGCAGAGAGTGGGAAGATTTGGACATTTTTTCCTCTCTCTCTCGGCACATGCATCCAAATCTCCCCTAGTTCTTAGGGCCTTGAACAAGCCAATTTCCCTCTGACTTCTCCCCTCCCTTTAACTCACAATCAAATGCTCAAAATTCTGTGCCTCCTGGAGTTTTCTCTGCTCTCAAGAGGCCTTTTTAATGTTTTTTTCCTTTACCGTTTCCCCCCCTGCTTTTCCAATTGGCACGAGCCGCCCATTTTATTATTAGGTATAGTAATTATAAAGGGACAGTAATAGAGAGCAGTGTGGGTAGTGAGAGACAAGACTAAACAGGAGAAGAGGGTGCTTCGGTCGCATTTTAGTTGGGGACCAAGATACAGATTTCATGGAAGTGGTGGGCGGGTGAGAAGAGTCTGTTTGAGAGAAAGAAGGTGGCCTCACACCCCTTTTCTGGGTGGGAGTTCTGAGGATTTTCTATTGTTCCTGGCCGTGAGGGCGACAAAACCGTTGCTGTGCTCAGGTGTCCTTGGGAAAAGCCAGCTTTATTTTGGGCTTCTTTCCACAGTCACTCCCATGTTTATCTTATTTTTTAAAACATAAAGCATCAAACAAAAATTGTCTTCCTGTTTTTAGTCTGTTCTGAATAAATGTATAAATGACACAGGGCCCTGTGCACTGAGAAGGAGGTGTTTCGTCAGGGGCGCAAAAGTCTTGCCATGGAGCTGGTGTGGCATAGTATGGCATTTGGACGGGGGGGGGGGGGGGGGGAGAGACTTGGGATCAGGCTCCCCTCCCCCATCACGAAGCTGATTGGGTGACCCTGGGCCAACCACACACTCTCTCGGCCTTCTCGGTCTCACGGGATCAAATGGGAGGGAGGAAGAGCCCTGCACGCTACCGGGTCTCTTTGAAGGAAGGGAAGGTTGTTTGTGTTGTTTTTGTAAGTGAAGTAAAATCAACACTGTAAATCTGGCTTCTCGTCAAACCAGGGGAAAATAATTGTGATCCTGTTTTTTGAGGATCACAAAACCGCAGGGAAAATTGGGCGAAGCTGCGGGTCAAAACTCGGCCACGTGGCTTCGAGTGGGAAATTGACCCATAGAAGCGGGGCAGAGGGAGGCGCGACCACGGCGCAGCTCTTGTGTGAAATCAGTCAGAGAGATACAGAGAGAGAGAGAGAGAGACTGGTCCAGGGTCACCTGCGTGGCCCAGGTTCTTCCCTCTCCTGCGCTACACGAGTTGTCTTTGGAACGGCTCTTGGCAAACCTCTGGGCCTGGATTTGCCTACCAGGCACAGCATCCGCTGCCTTCACTGGCCGGGAAGCACCTCCTCTGATTACGGCATTAGTTATTGTTGGGTTGATACGAATCATGCAGTACCCAAGATGTGTCATTATGGATGGACACTCTGATGCAGTACTGATTCCCAGGGTTGAGGGGGAGTGCCCAGGGGCCCCTCTCCAGCTCTGGCCCCCACCAGGACCCCCGCCTTCTTTCGGGCCCATCCACATCCCTACCTGCCTGTGTGTCCCCCGCCCATTCGTAAGCCTTCCCCCCAACTGACTGCATATTGTTTCCACAACGATGCTGGGTGGTGTGTGCAGGTAGGAACACCTTCACTGGGCCCACCAGAGGGGCCACCATCGTACAATACCTGCCGATCCTCCTCTTGCGATGTGTGGCTTGGGGGGCTCTGCAGCAGGGAGCCCCGTGCCAGAAACCACAAAGCCAACATGGCTGCAATGTAAAAGGGGCCAGGGGTCTCTGTCTTTTTAATATGTTGTTGTTTTTTTGCATGGTGACAGTGTCAAATGTCAGCCAGGGAAGAAGTGAATGCGATGTTCTCCCCAACTGTATGGCACTCTAGATCAGGCCTAGCAGCAGTTCAAATCCTTGTCAGTAAAACCCTCCCCTTCCTTGATCTCCTGAAGGGTGGTGATCCTCTCCTGCAGGCTCTGAATGTTCTCCTCCAAAAGCCTGACCAGTGTCAGTTAGAACGGCCATTCCCCTGGAACGTGTGTGTGTGGGGGGGGGGGGGAGATCCTCCTCTCCTCTGCCAGGTACACTAAGGATGTCTCCTGCCTGGGTTGTTATGTCTGCTTTTGCGTCTCTGACCTTGGGGTTCCAGCTGCTCCTGACCTGCTGGGAACAAACGGCTCCTATTTTGCCCGCTCTCTTTTCTCCCCCGCACACACAATGCTGATTGGCTTCTGCTTGTGATGGGGGTATAACTCTGGGTGTCCTGCTGCTTTGGGCCATTCCTGACAAAAGACGTTCACGTGTCATCGTTATGAACTACCAATAAACAGAATACTTCTTATGAAGTGCTGTGTGGTGTGATCTGACTATCGAACCCTGACAACCAGCTTATGCTTCTGACAAGGGAAGTTCGCCTTCTCTTCCGGGAGGAAAACAAACACAGCACACTCCATGCAGGTGACTGGAAAGGGGCCTTCAGTCGACATCACTGCCATCCACGTGTATTCCAGGAATCCTCTGAGCGGACTTTCGGGGCCCTCAGGCAGACCTTCAGCCTAAGAGCCACGGGCCCTTTGGCTCTTGCCCTTTGGCTTGCGCCTCTGGCCAGGAGGAGCCTTTTGTCTCCTGTCAAGCACAGCAGAGCTCAGCACAGTAGGGGGGCGGGGCTTGCAATCCACAGCAACTCACTCAGCCCCCAGCAGCCCCCCAACACACAATTAGCCCCACCCAGAACTTAAACAGAACCACTCGCTAGCAGTCTCCGAAGAACCCACTCACCCTCAGCTTCCCACACAGCAGCTAGGAAAGGCAAAAGGCAGAGAGACAGAAACCCCTTGCCTTCTAGCAGCTCCTCACCATGTGCTCTCCACTCCTTGCCTCAGGCCAGCTGGTTAATGTAGGCCAGCTAGCCAATGACCACTGCTTTGTTCTAGAAATCTAGTTTGTTCCTCCCAGGACTTGGGTTGGCTGATGCTTCTGCTCCCTCTGGAGCCTGCTGCAGATGCTCATACCACCAAAAGGAGCTCAGGCGAACCTAGTAGCAAATGGATAAGTTGGGGAGAAGGACTGTATTGGGGGGGGGCAAAAGATAAGTCTGCCATCCTCTTGCATTTTCCAGCATTGCGTCTTTCTAAAAGTCTAGTTGAAATAGGGAGACGCTCCCCACCATCTGAGTTCTCAAGAACATTTGGGGAGGGATCTTTGTTTTGGTTTAGGGGAAGGTTGCCGGAAGGGGAAGGGGAAGACACTAAGGCCTGCTGAGCAAGTGGATTTGTGGAGCCCTCTCTGGGGTTCCCTTCATCATTGCCTCGTGAGCAACAACCGGGATCCACCAAGGAGCCAGGCCTGGCGATCTAAAGGGTACCTGGCTTGAAATGCCTGAGAAGTTAAGCTGGGGAGGTGATACCCCCCTCCCCCATGTTGGTCCCCTTTTAGGGTACTGGGTATGATTCCTGAAGCTTCCTAGTGCATAATAGTGGTTTCTTGGGGTCTTGCCCTCTTGAACTGTGCCGTAGAAACTTGGTGAGGTGCATAGGTGGTATTAAACTACCACTACTTCCCCAGTTGGAGCTGCGGTGGCTCAAGTAGTTAAGACGCTGAACTGCAGGCTGTGGAAGGTCGGTAGTTCAGCAGTTCGAGACCCGAGTGTGCCGCATGACGGCGTGAGCTCCCGTCTCTAGTTCCAGCTCCTGCCAACCTAGCAGTTCGAAAGCAAGAAATAGCAAGTAGATAGGTACTGCTTCGGTGGGCAGGTGACAGCGTTCCGTGCGCCTTGGGGTTTAGTCATGCCGGCCACATGCCCACGGAAACGTCTTCGGACAGCGCTGGCTCTTTGGCTTTGAAACGGAGATGAGCACCGCAACCCTAGAGTCGGACTCGACTGGCTTTCGAGCAAGGGGAACCTTTACCTTACCTTTACCTTACTTCCCCAGTAAAACTGATTTCAAAGCCAGGATAGCAAAGGAAGGATGCATCTTGGCAGATGGAACCAAAGACAAGGTGTGTTCTGTGTTCTGTGTTAGAACAGAAATACCCTCCCTTTGTGGCCGGCCCAGCCCCATGCATTCAACTCAGAAACGGCCGTGGCAAGTCTTAATGGTGGTGGCCCTTGTTCTATCTCAAGCTTTGCACAGAGAGCTGCATCCTTGATCTCTTCCTGTGTTTTCAGTCTTCTCGACTGATGTGTTCAGGTGAGTAAATCAGCAAAAAAGACAGAACTAAACTCTGATCCATCATCCCCTTTTTAAAGCTTTAATTAAGGATGGAGGGAAGCTCTGCTCGGCTGGGAGCTGATCCTGAAGGGGCACATCCGTAGGGCCAGCCGGTGGGTTCTGCCTTTATGAATAAGATGTATGTGGAGGGGTGGGAATATGGATATGCAGAGTATACTTTTCTTCGGTTAAGGGTTTCTTATGGAATGGGTACTTTGGCTTTTTGGAAGAACCTTGATCATAATATTTTGTTTTGCATGTAAGTATTGGTGCTTCATTTGTAAGATGAGAGCTGTCTCGACTAACGTGTTTCTGGGAATTGTGACTTTTGTGGGCAAGAATTTTTTATCCCAGAGCCAGTCAGGAAGTGGGAGGGGGAGAGGCCCAAAACGGAGATAGCTCCATCATTCCTCCCCCGCTACAGCCTCCTTATCGCTTCAGTTTCCTTGACACCTATTAGGTTTAAATGAGTGAGAGATAAGAGAAGGCTGGCATACTAATTCACTGTCTCTCAAGATGTCCTCTTCCCACTTAAGATCTCATTTTGATAACAGCAGTGTTACTTGCCTGTGATATAATTAGTTTGGTTGAGATTAAATTCCTCCGCGACTCTTCTGAGCTGATCATGCGCACAGCACCTCCGTGCAGTTTGGC